GGTTATGACATACTGTGGATGCACGAAATCCTGCATCACCTCAGAAGCCACAAAAAATGATGATTCCCCTGTAAATACCAACTAACAATGGTGTCCCATGGTTTCAAAGCGGTGCGGTCCAAAGGCCGGGGTCCTCGTTTGTCAAACCAACCCGGAAAAGAGGCTGCCCGCAAAGAACGCACCTATCTTGCGGGGTCCGGGTTTCCCTTTGGAGCCAATCCTAAGAAGGGCACTCTTGCAAAGGCACACGTCTACAATACATGTGTTCTGTTTCTACGGGTCCTTTCGGTATTGAAACCACCTCAACATGGATATCCTCAACAAAAACAGACACCCATCTGGTGAGTAGAACCATGGCTACTTAACCAATTCCTAAATTAGAACCATCCCCGGCATTCCGTTTACCCTATAGAAACCAAGGGAATCATGCTTTAAACACCCAACAAGAGGACGCCTGGTTACCTAATCTAGTGGCAAATGGGATCCACTCGGCATGCACAACTTCCCTCGGACCAAGGGAGCCCACCTAAAAAAAACACCAAGTGGGGCGATCTGGACTTCACCAATTCCGCTACCCTAAGTCACCAAGGGAGCCATGCCTTAACAGGGATCCTTACATGAAAAACACCTGAACATTGCAACTTGTAAATGGTGGTTTCCTCTTATTTTGGTGTTGAAAAGGCAACATGTTTCAAATGGTTGCAAAATGGAGATCTTTTAAGGAGCCCTGTTGAAGGCAATCCGGAGGACCCGTCCTCTCTCCAGGAATGCGGAGGACAAATGGACAACTCCTGTTGTCATGGGGGCTGGGGGTGAGGGAGGGGGGAGGGAGCCCCAATAAGCCCCAAAGAAGGCCTGTTTCTCACTTGCTGAGTGGATGGCCCGAAAAAAGTCCAAACTTTATATTTACCACTAGAATGGTCTTCCCAAAAAGTTTAAAGCCCATGAACTCAGGAAGTGAGGTTTAAACCCCCAGGAGGCATCTGGACGGGTCCCACCTCGGGGTATCCACCTCCGGCGTGGAGCCGCAGGAGCTGAGCGGCTCTGGCGATTTCGGCCGGGCGAATTCGGCGGGGCGCGAAGCGGGCGACGAAGCGGGCGACTCCCTCACGACTCACGGGCGCCCTGAAAGGAAGGGGACCAGAACCAAAAAAAAACGTACCAAAGAAGTACCATACAAATCAAGTACCATAGAAATATATATATATATATATATATATATTTATATCCATGTACCAATATGTAGCAAACATATATATATATATATATATATGTACCAAAAGAAGTACCATGCAAATATGGGTGTGGATCAAACAAAATATCTGGGCTAGGGTAGGGATACGCAGGTCTTGGTCTTTGTTTCCATCCAAGGGGCCCAAAAATGGGCTCCGCTTTCTTGAGCCACTGTACCAAATATGACTCACTCTGCCAGGACCTTCTGGGTTGCCATGACGAACAATGGGTACCAAAATAGGAAAACCGTTGCAGGTCAAAAGGTCGCTGGGCTTTGGACTAGGACTCGGCCTTGACTCATGGAACCTCACTTCCTGGGGGGATGGCCCGAAAAAGTCAAAAGTAGTCTTTCCCAAGATGGTCCAAACTAAAAAAAAGAAAGTCCAGGAACTCAGTCGGTGAGTAAGTCTAACAACAGTCAACTCCGGAATGCCAGCAACAAGTTGAACTGTTGGTCGGGCATGTCAGAAATTACTGGCCTTCTAAACTCCCTTGATTCATAAGATTGCACTGAGCAAACCAAAAGTCAAGTCTAACAACAGTCAACAACGGGACGCCCGCCAAACTGAAACGTCTCAAGCCGCTTTCATCTTCGACCGTTCGGCCGAAGTCCTCGTAAACCGGAAGCAAAATCTTTACGGGCGGCATCCAAAGACCGGTATTTCAAACAACGGTTCGACTTAACTTTAAACTGTGTGGCTTGTCGACGCCTTGCAACAAGTTGAACTGTTGGTCGGATATGGCAGAATATCCCTGGCTCTCTAACCTTAAAACCTCGAAAGATGTCTGAGGAACCGTACTCTTGGGAACCGCCAAAGGAGTCCAGGCTCGTTTCAACTACGTTTGCCTCCATCTGTACTTGTTATGATTGCACCGCTCACTGAGTGGATGGCCCGAAACAAGTAACCAAACTGTGTATTTCCCACTCAAAATGGTCCAACCCCATAAGTGACGAAAGTCCGAAAGAACTCGCGGAGTGAGAAATCGCCTAAAGCGAGGGATCCCCTTAAAAATTCGACCTTCATGGCGAGCTCCTTGTAGCGCCAGAGCTCGCCAAGAAGCAGAACCCATTGGTCCAAGGATTGATTCCCCCATTCTCTTCACCCATGGTTCCTAGGTCCTCCAGTAGAGAGGTTACAATAAGTTGGTACCCTACTTTTTTTCAGGACGTCTATTTTAGTAGGGGGACCCTCCCCCAAAAAGGTGGGGGACTGGCCCTTGTCTTGAAGAGAAGAATCCCGGAGAAAGGACATGGACACTACGGCTAGCGTAGAACTGACACTGGCACCCTGCTTGCTCCCATGTCCAAAATCCCTGTCCAAAAGATACAACTCCAAAGGACCTGAAAATATAAGGTGATCACCATTTGGGTTGCCATGACTAAAAACTGGGTACCCGGCACCAAACTGGGACTAGGTCCTCCAGTAGGTTAGAATAAGGGTACCCTTTTCTTCTGTAGTCTATTTTAGTAGGGGAACCCTCCCGAAAACAAGGGGAAAAGGGCACTACTGGACACCTAGGGTAGGGGAAGACCCGTTTGGCCAGATCCGGTCGCTTCGAGCATTCGGCTTCGGCCTACCGCGCGTGGCCATGGCCGGCGTCTGCCGCCGCCGAAATTGGGCGCGGAGTCGGGGGGCCGCGGCGGGCCCGCCAGGGCCATGCCATGCTACACGTCCGCCCGAAGAATCAGAAGCAATCCACCGGGGAGCTGGGGAAGTCGATATTGTTTCCCCGGGGACCCAGAAAAGGGGGCGCTTTATTTTGCTCAGTTGCGAAAATGAAAGGCCAATATGTTGGAAACTTGACTGAGCATGGACCAAACCAGATTCGCTACGCAAGTGAGTACGAACCAAAGGTGCCAATTCTTGGGTGTCCCATTGTCTCACAGGCCAACCCAGTTGTGTTTTTGGAGTTGCTCCCTTTTTGGTATGTTCTTCGCGGGGAAACCGAAGGGCAACCCGTTTTGCGGTACTTAGAGACCAACCCATTTATAGCTGGTCCTGCTGCATGTGCTGCGTCAGCTAGGCCGGCGAAAGATAGGTCTGTCCATGCGTGAAGTAAGATAGCTGGAACCAAAACCCATGCTAGCTGCTTGCGCAACATCACGATGGCAATCTTCCGTATCTTCAAAAGGCAAAGCTGACATATCTTTGACACAAGAAACCTGTCTCTGGCAAATTGTGGATTGCCATCTTGCATTTTGGATTGCCATCTTCCAGTTGCTGCAGAAAGAAAAACCAAAACGATTTGCCAACCCATGTTGTTTTAGTTTTTTTCACGGACTGCAAACAGTCCACGTCCGCCCTACGCAGCGAATGGAAGCTCTGGTTCAATCATTCCTTTCAGGCACAAGTCTAATAAGCATCGTCTCATTCTCGATCTGGGCCAATATTTGTTTCCAGATGTTGCAGCACGTCAAAGCCGCTGTCCGTTCACCCGGAGTTGTCATGACCCCCATGGGTTGAGTTTCGGTAAAAATACAATAGACTTACCGACTCGGGAATAACTTTGCACATGGGATGGCGCCATGCCGCGTGCTCCTTGAGCCTCATGCAACGGGCAGTCCATGACAAGCTGCTGCCGCAAAATCGAAAGGTGCGCTTGGGTGACGTCGAGAGTGAGCTAACAAGGTCAGCGACTTCATGTTCCAAAGGTCATGGATTGCTTAGTGAAACAAACACTGAGGTTTGACATGCCGGCAAGACTTACCCCTTAAAACTCCAAGCCCTGGGGAAGTTCATCTTTTACAGACATATAGCCCATGTTACCCAAAAAGTTGTTAAAACATGTGTTTGTAAGGGGTAAGAAAATGCCCAAGGTGGCAACCTGATATTTCTTTGGGGACATTTTTCACGGTACCGGGGGCCGGGGCCCCGGAAAAGGACACGGGGGGCAATTGCTACCGGCTTTGCTCTGGGCTTCCGACCAACCCGGCCGAATCAACTCGCCGGGCCAGAGACGATTTAGGTATCAACGCCGGCCCCTGCCTGTCTCCATCACCCTTAAACTTGCTTCCTGAGCGACCCAACAAAGGCAACCAAGCTTAATTCCTATTTTCCACTAAACTGGTCCAAACCCGAAAAGTGCTCCCAGTTCGGGAACCCAGGGAGTGGGTAAAAGGAGACCACTAGCCCAAACTTGTTGGTACACGACCCCCCCCCCACGTTCAAGGGGCCAGAGAGACACGTTCAAAAAAAAACGTGGTCAACCAAGCCCTGAATTTTTGCCGGAGGGCACCGGACAGAAGAGACATCTAATGTTGACCCCCATTTTTTCCACCAACCAGTTGATTTACAGGGGTGTGTGCCTGGATTTCGGCGGGGATCAGACCACTTTTAGAGGAGCCAAACACCCCCCCCCCCTGTTAATAACAAGGTCCTCCAGTAGAGAGGTTAGAAGAAGGGTGCCAACTTTCTTCTGTATTCTATTTTAGTAGGGGAACCCTCCCCCCAAAAAAGGGTAAAAGGGCACTACTGGGGGAGGGTTGATTAATATGGGGTCGACATTATCATGTTCAACATGCACGAATCCGACAAAGAATCAGGGGGTGGTTTTGGGCTACCCAGGTTTCTCTGGGTGTGAAACTGGTTCCTGAAAGCATGTGGTTTTCAAGTTTGATCATATTTTCACGGCTCAAAGCATCCCCTTTCTTGTGCCAACTGGTCAAAAACAGGTACCCAACATGGAACCCTGGTAAACGGAAACAAGGACTTGCTGTGAATTAGTTTGACCCATACCCAAATGTACCTGTACCAAAATGATACAGAACATCCACCTACAATGTTGAAAAATAGCCACTAGGTCCTCCAGTAGAGAGGTTGGAATAAGGGTACCTTTTTTTCTGTAGTCGATTTTAATACACGAAAACCCTCACCATCCCTCACCCACAAAAGGGGTGAGAAAGTTGGCACCTAGCTGGGGGACCTAGGCCAAATCACTTCGACTACCTCGGCGCTTTTTCTGCGGATCTGCATCCGAATGCCGAGATTTGGAACGCGCTCAAAGAGGCTGCCTTTTGGCAAGCAAGGCATGCCCAAGAGGCTTAAGACACGGCGCCCCAATGCTCCAAACAAAGCAAGAAGGTAATTACCCTCCAGCGAACCTGGCTTAGTGGGCAAACCATCTTTGACTTTTAAAGGAAAGTAGTCTTTCAAATGGTGAAGGGAATGGGCTTGTCTCATGGCGAAGTTGATTGTTCAAGGAGGGGAGCTTCTATTGGGCTCTGCAGAGCCCGAAACCAGCACCCTCAAAAAAGACTCGGTACCCCTGTTTTGGTGGTTTGAAGAGCCCAACAAAAGACGCGGTTGTATCATGCCTATGGCTACAACCTCTAGGTTCCAAGTGGAGCAAGGGCATCAACGGGCTCTCATTAACGGTTTCTGTGTCGCACATGTGTAGTTCACACACCTGGACACACTGTGCCGGGTGAAACTTCCGACGCACATGGAAACAGCCCCGGAGCCCGGAGCCGATCCTGATTGCCTCCCAGTGCCGCACTATCGCATCGTTCCGAAAAGTGAAGTCACTTGGGTGCGTCGTTTTTTGAGGGTACCTTTTTGGGTGGCGAAAAAAAGGGAAACCAAGAGGAAACCACTCATTTTGAGGAGTCCCCGATTTTGAGATAAACCCACTTGTTGAGTGTTCCCTGGGCCTTTCCTTTTTCACATAAGTGGCTAAGCGGGGGGGGAAGAGTCATGCACTCGATTTTGACCGAAGATCGAACTCTTGAGGCTCCCCAAACATGGGCATAATGACCTCCCTTTGCGACTATGTCCCCTGGACAAAATGAGAATATGTCCAGTCGTGATAGATTCCCTTTAAAACCAACAGGGGAAATGACAAAATATTCTTAAGCAAATGGAAGATTACAAGATCAATCTTTTTCTAGGGGTTGATTTCAATCTGGGACTTACCACCTGTCAACTCTACAGGTCTTCGGGTTGAAGGGATTGTTCCAGGTTTCAATTGAGTGTCCTTCTGTCTTGCTTTAGGATTTGGACTCCCAAAGTGGATTCGGCTTTCCTGCTGGTTTCCACAACAAGAAGGGTACCCTCGAAAAAAGACAGGCCCATGTGGACAACTAACTGGGCTGGTCAAGGACTGTTCCCAGAAACTCAGAGCGCCAAAGCAAATCGGCGCATCGACGCATCGTCCTGATACGGATCCCCTCGTGAAACATGTCAATCAACGTCCCTCCCCAAACATTAAAATGGCAAATCCTGGCTCGCCCGAAGAAACAAAAAACACATATCTCGGCCCACCACAACTGGCCTTTTCCAGATCCCTGCAACACTTTAACTTTTGGCGGTTTAGTTGAAACTACCGCTAAATCTCAAAAGCCTAAAAACCTAGGGGGATGGCTGGGAACCACCAAGAAAGAATGGTCGGTCTGGGCTTGCAAAGAAGTTCAAACGTGATGTCAGCTTCGGATTAACCTGGAGCCCTACTTGAAACGAATCCTCAACAAAAAGAAACCACCCTGATTACGTTAAGGGGGAGGAACGTCTGGAAACGTAATCTGCATTTTCTGGGGGGGGGGGTTGCCACCTACAAATGTAAGATTACACTCTTTCAGGATACGTGCCAAAAAGTAAGATTACGTTTTGGACGCTGGTGGACCTATCAGCAAGGTACCTCACACGAAACCAAGTTCCTTTTTGATGAACTCACCCCATCTTCAATGCCTTCAAAGCGTCTGCGCATGCGCCACATCTACCCCTCCAGCATCATCAGCTTACACTTTGCGACTCCCCTGACCCACCCTATCAAGCTTGCCAGGGAAATCTGTTAACATGTCAATCCACTTTTTGTGGGGGGGGGGGCATGAGCAAATGTAACTTCTACGTGCCCAGGTGTCAAGTTACATTTTAACCCCCCCTCCCCCCCAACAAAAAACGGCAATATACACCTTGGGGGGGGGGGGGGGGTTCCGGTTACATTGTTTTCTGGGGGAGGGGGGGCCGAGAATGCAAATTACATTTTCAGACGTCCCCCCCCCCATTTTCGGGCCCTTAAGGGGTGGGGGATATTATAGCATGGTCCGCATTGCTCCAAAGTTGACATAGGCCGAGTCGCGGTTTCCCTTGTCCTTTAACAATGGGCGTGTCTTTCTTGTTGAGGGTTCGCCCAAGATTGGCGTCCTTTTCACCCCAAAAAAAGACTCAGCACCATGGGGAAGCTACCCCTGGAATGTTCGCAGACTACCCACATGGCCCCTTGAGTTGTGGTTACTTCTGTCTTGGTTTCCCTGTAAAACCAAAAACACAAAGGGTCGGATGGTGTCTGTTTGGGGAAGCTACCCATAGATTGGTGTCAACTCTTCACCCCAAAAAGGGTCCCAACACCCTCTCTCGCCCTCTCGACTCATGGCCTATCGCGGCACGGTGACCAAAGCCAGGGCCTCAGCTTTTGTTTTTTTGGGAGTGATGTCTTTTTGAGGGCACCGATTGTTTTTGGTGTGGAAGGCATGTTTCAGGGTACATTTCTGTTTTTTAGATCGCCAAGCTGCTGGTTCAGAACTGGCGATCCAGCTGTCTTGTTGAGGGCACCGCATTGTTTGTCATGTGTGAGGCTGCCATTTTGTCGGTGTGACTTGGAAGAAAAAACCGGAAGCACCCGCCGATTTTGGGTAGGGGCCCTGTTCCAACTCCTAAAGAAGACACCTACATGGACCTTGGACTCAACGACGCAAGTGGCGCTTCGTAAACTGGGTGTTAGATACGTCGCCAAGTAACCGCCCGGACAGGTCGGGTAGTTTCTACCTCTGGACCGTCCGATTCGAAGGTCAGCCAGTAAACTTTCAAGGCGCGGTGATCCTCGGTCTCATGTTGGTTTGTAGACACCAAACTTTGGAGGTCTGGGGGCAACCGGTGTAATGCATTTGTGCGAAACTTGGGTCCCCTGTCCTTCCCAAACTTGATTTCCCTGTCCTCCCCTGTCCTGCGAAGCTGTGGTGCACCCATTGTGTTGGAGGTGCAATTGTGGCGGTGTTCTCAGTCTCGAACAGGAAATATACGATTTCCAACCCAACCGTACCCCTTCATAGTGGCCACGCGTATGTCGAACCCGCAAAAACCCCGGGTGGTGGTAGTAGTAGTGAACACCAGCTGAAGACCGGTTTGCAGACATCTATGGTGCTTCTCCGTATGGTGTCCACTTAAACCAACCTGACAAAGGGTCACCTTGCAAAACCACACACCCACCCACCCACCCACCCACCCGCCCGCCCGCCCGCCCGCCCGCACGCACCCAACCACCCACCCACGCACCCAACCACCCATCCACGCACCCACCCACCCACCCACCAGCCCGCCCGCCCGCACGCACGCACGCACCCACCCTCCCACCCCCCCACCCACCCACCCACCCACCCAAAGGGCTCTAGTCTGGAGTGGTGATTCATCACTATGAAAAACAACATTTGCTTCGTACGCGTCGACCGTCCCGGTGTGTCTCACGCACCTGGGGGAATGAGAGCGAGACGAATCGCTCGCCATGCATTTCGCTTATGGCTCAAATCAGTAGACTTGGGGGGGTTTTGCTTGAGGCCACCCTTGAAAACCTTAGTTTCAAGGGAAGGCACTATGACAACCACCATTTTTCGAGTCCCTCATTTTGACACATACCCGTTCTTGCATACGTGGAGACAAAAATCGCCAAAGTGGTATGTGCTTGTCGTGTGCGTTTGTTGTGTATTCCTGTGTTTGTGTTTCTCGGTGTGTCTCACCTTGTCTCTGCGTGTGTCTGTGCCATGGCCCGTCCTTTGGGCCCGTCCCGCCTCCTGCAGGTCTCTGATGGAGTCTTCAAATCCCTCATCACCAAAGGCTGGCTCCTGACAGCGGTCAGCGAAGTTCGGGTCACATCCCGAAACACGAATCCGAGATGGGAAAACGACCGAACCTGCACGGGGATCCGGTGGGAATACACCAAACAAATGCGACTTGCGCGAGAAAAGGAAAAACAAAACATTAAAAAGAAAATGTTTCCTAGCGCAAACAAGGCGGACATAAATCGGTGGGTTTCCACAAGGTACCCAAGCCATCAGTGCAACTGGGGTTGATGCGGGGACGACTCAAAGCAGAGTGCCCTTTGAGTACCCGTTAAGTTTTGGCCGATTTTCCTCAGCCCCGCCCACCTTTTGCCCGTAACTCGCAGCTCCTCCTCCACTCCGTAGCCCAACTCTGCAAGCACCTCCGAGAGAAAAGAGTGAGTCCACCACCCAGCTGGTCTTTATAGGGAAATTTGGGGTAAGACCCACAGCGGGCAAAAGGGAAACCTCTACCAACACTTAGGTTTCAAGACCAAAAGGGACCTAACAAGGGCTCAGTGGGCAACTGGGCGTGGCCTTGCTTGAAAGGGGCCTGAAAGCGTTCAAAACACAGAAACCCTTGCTACCCTTCGAGGATGGTTGTTCAAGGGGTAAGAGACGCAAGAGTACCTCATTAAATCTTGATTCAATTTCGGGATCCTACTCAGTAATCCGTAGTGAGACACCACTACAAAGCAACAGTTGGAATTGCTACCAGCTGGCATGATCACTAATAATATGTCTGAACAAAACGTCCTGAAGCCGTCATGGGTGAGCTCGTTTTACGTCGTTGTCATGTGTTCACATCCATGTGGCTCATACCAGCTCGTTGTTTCCTTTGTTAGCAGCCAAGGAGCAAGATCGTTTCTATCACCTTCGTTCCAGTCAAGCCTTCCATTTGGTTAAGGCCCCAGGAAAAAATGAGAAAATGTGTCCAGTACAAGTAGTAATGAATTCCTTTTAACACCAACAAGGCAAACTAAAACATATTCTGAAGCAAATGGAAGAAGCCGAGCCATTAAAAGTGATACTGTGGACAGACGAAATCCTGCATCATCTAAGAAACCATGGAATGATGATTCGCCTGTAAATACCAACAAGCAATGGTTTCCCATGGTTTCAACGTGGTGCGGTCTGGGATTTCGTCCAACCACAGTACCACACGCAACACCATCACGCAAAACCAGGCTCAGTATCTCTGCCACAGGTTGACCCAACCAATAGAATTGAAACAGGGTGAGGCCGGGACACTCAGCCGCTCTCCTCAAGATGGACCGATCCCACGCAAGCTACAAATTGCGTGATGGCAGGTTGTGGCAAGGTGACAAAACCACGCATGACATGAGTCATGGTCAAAACCTGGAATGAACATGGTCTACCCAACACCATTCAAAGAATTAAATGGTCGGCCGCTCCTCTGGAAGGGCTTGGACTATACCTTACAACCTTCATCTACCCGAAACTTTGCAGCAATACTGATTGCAGCTCACATGATGAAAAAGGGTGACATGAAAAGAGTCACCAGAGGGATCCAATGTGTTGTCACCTTCTATCCTGCAGATGAACACTACAAGCACCCTTTGAGGAGTCTCCCCTTGGAGTGCCTACTCTTTGGGTTCCATAAGGGAAGGGCAGCAGACAGCACATAACTTCGAGCATCAGAAAGCGCAATGCACCAGTAGCCTCAAGTTTCCAGTAGATGTTTGAACTGAAGTGAGTCTGCAACGGCAATGAAACATAAGGGCTTTGAGGGTGCTGATTGTTGGGGATTTAAATGGAAGCCAAAAAAAACCCACCAGTTTGGAGGGGTCCCCTAAAAAACACACACACACACACATAAACAATCCCCCAATGGAAGATGGCCCTCACAGTCAACGGTTCCCTTTTGAAACGAGCATGCTATCTCCTATCGGGGTCGCCCCCTTTCAACTCCAAAGGAAGAAAGGCAATAAGCTTCCCTCTAAGCTGGTTTGGATTGGTGGTTTGGTGGTTCAGGAGGGGATTCCCAGCAAGACCCAGGGCTTCAAATCCAAACCTCCAAACCTCCAAGCCCCTGGGGAACTTGAGGCAAACCGAGCATAGGAGTTGGGTTCATGTGACCGCCCAGAAGCAAACCGCCTCGATTTCCCGAGGCCGCATGCTCCCGCCAACTGATCGCTTTTCTCGCGGCCAGTCTCGTTTGCGTGTTGGTTGCTTGTTGACTGGGCAAGAAGCGTTTCACTAGTTTGTGGGGCCAATGGAAAATCCGAACTGCTTCAACCAAGCAGTTGAAGTCCAAAGATCCGTTACCACATGTGGATATAGATATTCGACTATATATAGATTCTGGCGGACTCCTGGGACTATTTTTTCCGAATGGGAATGCGTTACCAAAAGTAATAGACATAAAGGCAAAAGAGCCGACAAACACATCCCAGTGTCGTGGAGTCAACCCACTTCCGCAAGTGAATCAGTTCGAACCAAACGGGTGTCTCATGAGCTTTAACTCCCCGCTTTGGATGCACGTTGTGAACGCCGCTCACTGCTGAAAACCCCAAGAAACCGACCATATACCAGGTTGAAAATTGCAAATCAAACATTATTGTTTGGTGTTTAAACCACTTGTGTTTGAACAAGCTGCTTCTTTCCCTGAGGGGCTTGGGCGTGCTGTTCGCCTTGTCACAGACCCCACAGCCTTTCCCATGGGAACAATAGCATTGGGCATCCACTTGTTCGGTCGTTGATGAAGGGGCTCACCCCATCCAATATATATATATATATGGCTGTGGCAACCAAAAACCGGAATTCCAAAATGGGTTGCCCGATCGGTCAGTGGAAACATGGACCAAAACCTGCGGTTTGCCCCTCCTGTTTAATTTTGAGCCACATCCATATATATATATAGGTCCTCCAGTAGAGAGGTTAGAAGAATGGCACCAACTGTTTTCTCGGTAGTCTATTTTAGTAGACAAAACTCCTGCCCCAAAAAAGGGTAAAAGGGCACTGCTGCTGGGGGACCTAGATATTAGAGGAATCATGCACTCGGGGGGGTTAAAATCGAAAACCCAACCACTGAAACCAACTACCCTCCCACCGACTAACATTGGTTTGTGCACAGACTCCTGTGGAAAGACTACTTTCCTGTTGCAAAGGTGTCGGTTGGTGGAGGCAGAGTACAAAAAATGCCACCCCCCCTCCCCCCCTCTCCCCCTCCTCCCTATGAAACTATGACCCATCTATGGTGGTAATGCAAGAGGCACAAGTTTTTCCTACAAATATATCCTCTAGATCCTCCAGTAGAGAGGTTAGAATAGAGAGCGGCCCGGCTCATAGAATAAGGGTACCCTCTTTTCTCTGTGGTTTATTTTAGTAGACGAAAACCCTCCCAACCAAAAAAGGGGTGAGGGGTCGGGCACCTAGCCGGGGGGCCTAGATTCCTCCATTTGCGAGAAAACAATTCCAGTAGTGAAATTGATTCCCTTGAAACAGAACAGGGGAAAATAAAACATATTCATTTCACCAAATGGAAGGGGAATCCAACACCAATTTTTAAAACGCCTTTCTGGAACCGGGAATTCGCCCCAGCACCAAATCCCAGCACCGAATCGACCGACGCCGACGCCGAGGGAAAATCGGACCTGCTGCAGCTCCTGCGCCGGGCCGTCGAAGTCCTCGCAGGCCTCCTGCGTCCATCGGACCGCTCCGCGTGCCGAGTGGCCGGCGCTCGGAGCGTTGGACCGAAACCCCGCAAAGTCCTACTGTGCTTGGACGAAATCCGAGACCGCACCACGTTGAAACCATGGTTGAAACCACAAGGTTTGTTGGTATTTACAGGGGAATCGAATCATTCTATGGTTTCTCAGGTGATGCGAAATGGATATCGTCCATCCACAGTAGGTCCTCCAGATTTGAGAGCTTGGAATAAGTTGGTACTCACTTTCCTTTGTTCTGTTTTGCCTATTTTAGTAGACGAAAACCCTCCCAACCAAAAACGGGGTGAGAGGTCGGGCACCTAGCCGGACCTAGAACCCCTATACCCGAAGGATGGTTGGTTTGAAAGTAGATCAAGACTTCTCTGGTAGATGTTCTGTAAAAACAAAGGCCAACCAGTTGAATCGCAATCTGTTTTGTTCTACCACAACCAAGCATGATACCTATGAAATTGGAAGTCGCAAAACGTTTTTTTTGTTCCCCGGAGAAACCCTCAAGGTACCCATGGTATGCCTTGAAGATCGGTCGGAGTCAAAAAGAGGTTCCCTTTGAGGGAGTCAAACGGGGCTTAGTTAAATGCCTTCGACGGGGGTTGAGCGTTGAACAGGGGTTTAAAGGCCTCGTGGTACTTTTTGTGGGGTCATATTTGACGGTGTGTGTCTACATATATTATATATATAATATGTATTATATGTTTTCTCAAAGACTCCCTCCTGGAACGCCCCTCCGCGTAAGTAGATGTTTGACAACCAGAAGGTTAAAACGTCCATTGGCACAAAACAAATTGGTTGATGCACCTCCTTAGAAGGTACCAAACTAATCTACCTCAACTGATGTCCGCATCTCCCCTTCACGGGTAATTTGGTTGAAAAAACGGTTTACCTCATTAGGCCATTGCTGCTTCCCACCTAAATCATGCTTCTTATGCCAGGTCCTCCAGTAGAGAGGTTAGAAGAAGGGTACCAACTTGTTCGGTAGTCTATTCTAGCAGGGGAACCCTCCCAAAAACTGGGGAGCGAAGGGCACGATCCTGGTGGACCTAGTCATGCTACTTTTTCTCAGTACACGAGGAAGGCTACGGCTCACAGTGCCGCTTTCTCCTTGGTTGTTGTTGGGAAACATTTTACATGTTTGCTTATTGTGGCTTAGTGGGAAATCCCCACTTCACTGCTCAGATTTACATTTTTGCTCCCCTTCCAACGTCAGCCAAGCCTCGGTACCGAAAGGCGCAGTATCAGTTGCTTACTTTCGTCAAAATCCCGGCCCACTTTGACATCGACAAACCCAGGCCGGCTTGTAGAAGCCTACATTTAGCAAGCAAACCGCCAGTTCCTCAGTTCTTAGCCGTTTGTAGAGGTTCACACCAGGCCTTAGCTATTCCTTCTGACATCACCTGGGCTGCCCTCAGCTCCCCCGCGAAAAGTTTAACTTTTCGCGGGTTAAATGGACCCTACCACCAAACGACTAAAAGCCCAAAAAGCTTTCTGGACCCGGATGGCCTTCGGGAGCCGCCAAGCTTCAGATCCGGTCCCAAAAACGAAAAAATCCACCTGCTTGCGTCATATGCCGCAACGCGAGTCCTCCGGAGCTCTGCTTTCTCGCTCCTGCGCTGGGGGCTGACCACAGCATCCCGAAGGTCAACCGTTCGAAGGGTAGCTTCCATTTCCATTCTTAACCCAGGGATCCGGATCTTTCTAGAAACCCACCAAGGCTATTGAAAAGAAGAATGGTTGAAAAGAATGGGGGATCCACCCCTAGAACTGTAGTTGAAACATGGCCCAGGTGGGATCAAGTTACCCACCTGGGGTAGCTAGCCAGCTTATATACGTGAAAAACATTCTAGAGGTAAGACATCCATGCTGTTTACCCATTGAAGAAAGATAGAAAGTGGAAAATGGCATCACTACATGGGTCCATGCCGTACCTGTTCCCATGCTGAGCCAGGCATTGTGCCTTTGCGCAAAGGAGGTAAACAGTAAACTGCGACTGAACGTGAGTTCAGGCGAAACGGACCGGACCGCAACAAGAACGTACTCTACCAGACTTCTAAGTTCTCATCTTTGGCTGCATCTTCATACGTGGCAACAAAATTTGATAGTGGACATGAATCAACGCCAAAATGGCCAGCCAAGAGTCCCCTCTTCGAATTGACCAGTGGCTACGTGGCACCCTGTTCCCTTTTGGAGGCTTCCGGTCCCCAAAGACATGGTTCTAAGAAACCATCTACTGGAAATTGTGTCTCACTTGCTGAGTGGATGGCCCAAAAACAGTTCAAACTTTATATTTACAACTAAAATGGTCTTCCCAATTTAAAGTTCATGAACTCAGGAAGTGAGGTGTAGGACACCCCTGATTTTGGTGGGTATTTGGCGAACTGCCTGCAGAATTCCTCGTAGCTGGTTTCTACGATTGGTCGTTTTCAGCGATGCTCTTAAGTGTTTAGGCGTTTCTTGAATGCGTGGTCGAGATCAAGGACTGTGCAGGGAAGCCAAAAAGAAAACCGACATGGTTGGGGTGCCCTGTTTAAAAACAACTCGTGTCCCTGACAATGTTGCTTTCATTTTCAAGTAGGGCAATCATAAGACACACATGTAGACATATGCATATGTAACATATGTATATAATATATATATATATATATATGCAACACACATATGCGAACATTCGTTCCTCTGGATGGATGGATGGATGGATGGATGGATGGAAAGATAGACAGGAAAGTAGATGAAGCACAAAAAACAAGACATAAACAATAACAACAAGGAAAACAAAGAGCACGAGAAAGAGGGAGAGGGAGAAAGAGAGAGAGAGGGGCAGAGAAGTATAGAAACAGAGAATGATCAAGAGGAAGAGAGAGAAAGAGAGAGAGAGAGAGAGACAGAGAGAGAGAGAGAGAAGCATGAATAGAAGAAAAACAACTAGAGACAGCTAGAACTCTTAAATTCTTGAAACTTCCGCCCACCGGCTTCGCCGGCTCTACTGGTACACCAAGCATGTTCCGCTGGATACGCCGCGAAGGGAATCATCCCCATTGCCAGGAAACTGCCTTTCTGTTGGACAGCCAACGTGATTCCATGACGGCTATATTCTTCTCTGACTGATCCTTTCAGGTTTCGCAGAGCGCGCTGCAGCCTTTTGCTCGTGTCCAAGAAGGGTCCCATGCGAAGTGAAGTGCGAGTCCACTGCAAGTGAATTCCTGGGCCCGGGTCAAGCCGGGGTCACTGGATCTTCCCATCAATAGTTGCAAGGTTTCCAATAAACCTGTCACTTTTGAAGGTTCCAAAAGGGGAAATGGAGGAAACCTTGTCAAACCTCTCTTGAAATACATGAAACAAATACGAGGCTTAGCCGGAGAGTTCCGAATGGAATATGTTGGAAGCCTCGAGAGCGAACGAATGCAACTGCGACTTCACGAACTCACTGGCCTCGTGGGAAGCATCTTTCAGGACGTTCAGCCTGGACGCGGGTGAAGGGTGGGGCGGGTGGGGCGGGATCTGGGTGGGGTGCGGGGGTATTCATTGGATGACAAATCACGGGGATAGGTAGCCAAACACTGGATGAATCAATCAGCCGTATTGGACTATGAATCTATGAAGGAGTCCCCTTGGCCTTCATGAACCTAGGGCTTTCAACACCTGAAAGGATAAAAGCTCAGTCAATGAGGAGGCCGTAACCACCAATTCTGGGGGCTAAACCAGCACACGCACTGTCACTTATCATCGCGACTCTTGGTCTTAACGAACAGCCTCAATTTAATGATTTAGGCCCCTATAGTACCATCGCGCCTGCGGCTTCCACCTATGACAAATATTTGCCCCAGCCTCAATCTCTTGTACCCTTTCGTACCACCCCTGCAGCTCCCGCCCCGTCCAAAAACATCACTTCTGGACCCCCCCTGTGGTCGATGGAAACGGGGTCCGAACTGGGAGGGAGGCTTCCTCGCCAAGTCCAAGCTTAACTTGTTCAAGTCAAGCGTCAAGCGCTTTTTCTAACTTGTCCGAGAAATGAAGTAGTCCTTCCTTAGTTGGAAGGCATTTAGAAAACATTCTGGGCGCGCGTTACGTGATCTGCAAGTCACCGCAATCAAGGCCAATTGATGCGAGTCAGAATGTCTCAGTGAGATGAGGGGCCAAAAACTCAAGTTGCGGGCCTAAAATGAACCCACCGAGAAGTAACCAGTTCAACGTATGTCAACTCGTCAAAAGGTCAAACCCACGGGGACTTACAACCTAGGTGAGTGGGTTGCAAAAAAAAAGGCTACCAGTCATTTGCTTAGTAGCCTGCCCCTGTCAAGAAAGGGGTATCCCCATTTAGCCACAACAGCAGCCAGAGGCTCCGCACGCATCCATCAGCTCCGTCATAGGCAGCTCGCCTGGGGCTCCCGCAGCGCAATTGCGGCTATGATCATGAGCCTCCATTTGCTTAAGTCTCCTGGTAGCAAGTCCAGTAATGATAGATCCCCTTTAAGACCAACAGGGGAAACTCAAACAAACAAGCAGAAAATGGAAGTGGCGTAAATTCGGTTTCTAGGTACCTCACTCCCTGATCAATTTATTTAGGCTTGGGGAGTTCAGGGACCCGTGAACAACCCAAGTCAATGGTTCAGGATTGAAGCTTTGAGACACACCATTAAACTCAGTTGCCCCGGATGGGAGATAGAAATGAAAAGGTTAACCTTTTGGGGCCATGACTAAAAAATGACCAACATGGAAAAAAACAAAAAGTAAAAAGGTCGGCGCTGGACAACTGAGATTCTGTGCCATGGTGCCAACAAAATAATGTTGACCCCGGATTCATAAACTGGTTGTAATAGTAGGAGTGGGGGCCCCTCCAACAGTGGTCTGAATCCCCGCAAAAACAGGGCACACCCTCTACAAATCAAGAAGGGGTTTATAGATCAGGGGTCAACAATAAGCAGTTGTTGAATGAGTAGTGCAAAATAGAGACAGCGGGTTTCAGTGACACGGTCTCAACAGGTCCTAGGTCCTCCAGTAGTAGAGAGGTTAGAATAAGGGTACCGTCTTTTTCCTGCAGTCTATTTAGTAGGGGAACGGCACTACATGCTGGGGGAACTAGGGTATCAACATGATCTACCCAGAACCATGCTTCAAGAATGAACCAGGCGGCACAGGCAATCATCTATGGTTGGCGTTCTCCCTTGCTAACCGTTACCTTGCTTGGCGCGAGAAGTAGGGAATGTAGGAATGAACCTGGGGAAACCACAATTCTTGGTTGACGTTGGAAGGGGAGCAACAAATTAAAGTTTAGCAGTTAAGAGGCGATTGTCCACTAAACCACAATAAGCAAAAATAAATAAAAAAAAGAGTTTCCTAACGACAACCATGAGTTGGATGGGTTATGAGGGTCATGTCTCATTCCGTGCATCTCTCGCACCAGGAAGCTTCTCGAATCGGCTTTCAGCAAGTGGCTCATGAAACCTAAGCCAACTATCGGCCTTGGGGCCAGCTGTGGCTTTCTGACCCGAAATCAGAGAACCGAAGTTTCTCATCCAGCACATCGGAACCTATAACAAACCAACTGCCCAAGAAGCTCCGACTCCCGAATCAGCCAAGCCATGGTTCATCTTGAAAAAAAGGGAAGTTCCCAAAATAAGACCCAGCTTCCCTCGGGTTTCCCCTTAAGAACCACCCAAAAAAAGATATTCCCACAAACGACATCCCCGACTCACCCCTTTTGGGGACCAAGCACCTATCGGAGGTACTTGAACCTCCTTCACCCCACCAAACACCATCCTCAAAGCGTGCGAAAGATGTGGCTGGTGGACGATGTGCACCAAAGGGTCCCAACTTAAAATTCCCACCCATGTATAAAGAGGGACCCGCACTCAGCGCTTCACTTCGCCATCACAAAACTGGCCCTGTCGCGCCTTTGACCGCTTCCTGATCGGCCTGAGCGCTGAAAGCGAGTCAACAGAAGCGAGACCACACCTGCCTTACGGGCTGCTTATTGGCAATCTTGGGCTTCGGGTTGGTGGTCACATCTTCGAGCAACAGCAGCATCTTTCCTTGACGTCCTTCCGCATCCCGAAACACACGGCGTGGTTGTTCCCCAGTTCCATTTGTCCAGCTCACCTCTTGAGTGGATCACGAGATGGTTCAGAAAGTTTAAAGTCCAGGAACGCAGGGAGTGACCTCGTCTTCCACACGACTTGAAAATCGATTGGGCTTGAAATTCTGGATGTCACTCTCCAAACTGGGGAAGGAGACCTCTCCACTCGTTTTCATAATATGGGTGTGTCTCAAACCGAAATACGCGGTTGCCCTGTGGTTTCCCCAAAAATAACGAGTTCCCTCAACACACATATACGCTCATATCCGCTTTGAAGCAAAGCTCAAGTAACGACGAGTAGCTGTTTGGCTTTTTTGGGGGGCAAATTCTACGCCATCTAGGGGGCCAAGGGTCAGCCGTGTTACTGAAGATACCTTTGCTGCATTCAATATTGATTGTGCTCCCCGCTAGCATGGAAATGTTCACTTGCCAGGACCCAGAAACAACAGGTTAACCTTTTGGGGCCATGACTACAAAAGGTAATTGGAAAATAAAGGTCAAAAGGTCGGCTTGGGGCAAGTGTAACTCCTTAGTCATCCCCTTTACTACCCTATCTGACGGTAAATTTGACTGTTACCGGCCGAAGATTCGTGCAAGCAAATACCCGCCGGAGCAATGAGCTGGAACCATGCGTTACAAGACTACACTGACTATGACCAAGCATAAAGCCCATACCATGATTGCAGATAGGCCTTGTCGTCAAATATGTCTACGTGGGTTACGTTTAATCGCCAGTGCAAACACTCAGTTCCTGAGTGGATTGGCCAAACAAAGTACCCAAACTTGGCGGACTCCGCGCTCCATCGCAGCATGCTGTCGGTCCACTTCATGGGCGTAGGACGTGGCCGCGGCCTGGAGTTCTTCGACTAACTTTGACAAAGTCCAACTGGCAGCGCGGACGGAGAGGGGTCAGCCACGACTCGGCCTCCAGTCTCAGCTGCATGGCGCGCAGCTAAGTCCGAAGCGGAACTCAGCAACTGAGATGGAGAGCTCCTCAATATTGACCCCGGATTTATAAACCCCTGTTTATATGGGGGTGTTCCGCTCCAAAAGGCATCATTCCCACTAAACCCAGGGACACGCCCCCATATTAATAAACAGCTTCTTGCCAAATCTCTGGTCACCACTATCACTATCCCCTTGAACACTCCCCCCCCCCCTTCAACTTGCGGTTTCCCCAGTAAGAAATGCCGAAGGCCCTGGCATTTCAGGGTCCTCAAGCAGAACGAATGCATCCCAAGCCGCCCGGGGAATCGAAAATCACGCCCGGGCTCCGAGGCTCCGAGGCTCCCCGCGTGCAGCTGCCCGGCCCGCCGCGCCAGCTGCAGCGCCCCTGACGGAGCGGTCTTGGCGGGGAGTCCTTGGTGGATGTTGGAAGGGGAGGAAAAAAACGACATTTGGTCGGTTCAGCGGGGAGGTCCGACTTAACTACAAGAAAAACAACATGCAACAGCCTTTTCCCAACAGCAACCATGATTCAGCGCTTTTGGAGGGGCCCCCACCAATATGGGCGTGGCTCAAACAATATGCACCATGGCCGCCTTGAGTTGATTCCTCTGCCATTCTTTTCAACCATCGGTTCTTTTCACAAACCATCCAGGTTCCATGGGTTGGGCCACCCCCATATAGGGGTTTATTAACTTCCGGACCGGGGTCAACGGTAGTCCTACTTTTCTGGGGGTCCATTCCTCTGCCGTTCCTTTCAAACATCGTTCTTTTCTCACAAACCATCCATGCTGCATGGGCGTCCGGAGATTTTCTAGAAAGGATGCCTGGGTTCAGAATGGGGGTTAGGTACCCCTAGAAGTTTTCCCCATTGATAAACAGGGGTTTAGTCATGGACCGGGGTCGACAGTATTTCTTCTTTTAGGACTTGGTCCCTTTGCTTCATAAGCGAACCGGCCGAGCTCTGCTATTCTGGCTGACAGGGCCCAATCCTATACGCAATGGGATTTCCTATACAGGGGGGGACGCACATTTCGGCTTTCCTTTCAAAACAGACCCACAAGAGGGTACCCTCCAAAACAAATAGACCCACATACCTTTCCAAACCTACGAATGGCACCTGAACGAGGGTTCCTGCAACAGGTGCCTTGTTTAGGGCTCGCTTGCACGTTCCAGGCTTTGGAGGGGCATGACATAAGCAAGTAAGTGGTGGCAAAGAAACTTCAACCACACACCTGTCAATCAAACGCAATCAAAAATGTCTAATTAGTTGCCTTGCATTTCGAAGTAACCGGAATGAACAACCGATGCTCAAACGGTGTCATGTAATTCTGACTCTCTCAATGGCAATGGGACTTACTTTGGTATTAACGCCCTTTTGGTCGGCAACCATCCGCGACAACAAACTGCGTTGGCTACAGCTTGCTGTCCGCTGAGAGAGGGCTCTCGCCCGAAGAAAAGGGCAAGCTTGATGTAGGCTAGGGGGAAATCCATCGGATGGCTGTGGGTCAAAAAACCGGTACCAAAATGGAACTCTGGTAAGTGGAAACATGGACCACAACCTGCGGTTTGCCCCTCCTGTTTAATTTTGAGCCACACCCAGATGGAGCCAAATTCATCCAGATGTTGCCAAAAGATCAACGGAGTCGAAGCTAAGATCACAAAGACCAGTCTAGGTTCTCCAGTGAGGTTAGAATAAGGGTACCCATTTTTTTTGCAGTCTATTTTAGTAGGGGAAAGGGGTAAAAAGGGCACTACTGGGGGCCCTAGTCATGCATGGTCAGGAACAAGCATCAAGCACCAACCGCATATGCTTGACGGACGATTTCATGCCACGGGGAGGGAGCCAGCGGCCTATTGGTTGTGGCACACTGCGCGAAACCCGGAGGTCAAACCAAAGATGCTGGGAAGAGGGTCCACGTTCTACAGGCGCGCATCTGCAAGCATGTATCGTTAGCTCGAAAACCTCCGGAAACCCAGGCAGAACGGATCCAGTTTTTGGAAAGAACGATGGTTGAAAAGAATGGAAGAGGAATCAACCCCTAGAATTTTCGCAAAACATGAACATGGTTGATTCCCCCAGCAATCATACCCCATTTCATGAGCCCATCTACTCCCCACGCATGTCACGCCTGAGAGAGAGAAGGTTCGGGGACCCCGGAGCTGGAATCTCGCCGTGAGATGAAGTTCAGAAGGTCGAATTGAGCAGCACCATACAAATGCAGACTTTTGACTTTTGGTTCTACGGCTTTCTAGGTTCAGATGTGTCAAGCCAGGTAATTAGCAGTAAACTTTTGATTTTATAACGTATGAGCACCCAGTGTTTGACCATAGGTAAACCAAGAGCATGAACGAGGTTGCGACCGCATTTTTTGGCCGGCTTGCAAACATAAACAAAAACAATTAACTCCCCAGGCTCCTCTGGATTCACTCAGTCAGGTTTCTAAAGTCGTTCGAAAATGCAGCACACTGCAACCAGGAAAGACTTTGTCGGGGCTCTCTTTGCACAGAAACTGAAACATAGGTGTCCTTTTAGGGCAAATAGATGGCCCTGGTAGATGACTAAACCATCAGGTAAACCAGGAATCGCCATCTATTTTTCTACCAAAACAACCAAAAAGGACACCTATGAACTATGAACTGAAACCATTTCCTCCCGCGATTTTCCCTTGGGTTCGCTGTTCGCCGGCGTGTGGCGATTTTGACCCTTGGCCCGACTTGGTGGAGGACATCGCCACTTGAGAGCAAGCGCTGGACGCTGGAGCCGCGCGCGTTTTTGCTTTGCGGCGAGGTATTTTGCAGCAGTTTTCGCGAAAGAACAGTAGTGTGGGACTGCTTAAGCCAAGGTGGGCAGCTACAAAGGATGGGGTTGTGCCTAGGGGCCACTCACAAAAAACGAAGCCCGGAGTCTCTTTGGTTTTGAGATGCAAACTGCCGCAGTACGAGGGGAAGTTGTCCCCCCAAAGTGTTCTGGATTTCCTCTCACATGGGGCGCGCCCTAGATTCATTCACGAGGAGTTCTTATAAATCCTGGGTTCATGCCACAGAACCTGGGCAAATTACTATTCACAAATAAATCATGTTAACCCTGGATTAATAAACCCATTAATAGGGACTCAGACCACTTTTGGAGGGAACACCCCCCCTAATAATGGGACGGGTTTATTAATCCTGGGTCAACATTGAAAAGGGACGTTCATGTTTTCCCATGTCGTAGCCCGGAAACACTCGGTGACCTCGCTCCTCCGTGCGAACCGGCGGATGTTTCCGGGGCCCCTCGCGCGGAATGGACATGCGTTGTGAAAGCTCGAGACCCCAGTCATAGGAGAACTCCAGGTCCTGGTTCGTGAGCAACGAATCAGCTTCCCTCGAATTCTTGGTTGACGTTAGAAGGGGAGCAAAAAATTACATGTTAGCACTTGAGTGGGGATTTCCCACTAAACCACAATGTGGAATGTTTCTTAACAACCACCAAGAATTGGTGGTTTGGATTGGTGGCTTGGTGGTTGGGGGGTGCCTTCCCATATACCTTCTACAAGAACCAAGGGTTCAAATCCCCAAACCACCAATCCGAACGGAATCCAAACCACAAATTGGGGCAACCTCCCCACGAGAATCAAACAAAAAACAAAGAAACAACAAGCATCCCAGCTGACACCTTTTTTCGGACCTGTTGATAGTCCTCCTCCTTTTGTGTTGGACACGGGGATATACCCTGTCCACGTTGGAACCCACCAAAGAAATGGCCCCGTTGCAACGGGAGGGTAACTACGGGGGCAAAAAACATCATGGGGATGAGGGTGGAAAACACTGAACAAGTCCTTCGGGGGAAGCAAAAGGACAACGACCAACTGGCCAGACATCTTCTGAAGAACTGGCCCGCTGAAGCGCCAATTTCGCCTTCTTGGCCATTACTTTATGTGTGAAAAGTGTTCAACATGTCGTGGGAAAACACACAGTGAGTCAAGCAAGGCGAGTGAAGGTCAAAGGTCAAAGGTTAAAGGTCCGAGCAAATTTGTATTTGTCAGAATATGGGTACCTTATCCCTACCTTAGGGGGGAGGGGGTAGGGGGTCTCCCGATTCCATTTATCCAGCCTTCCCCATGAAAGGGGAAAATGGAACTAAAAATGGAATTCCAGGGGTCACCCTCCCCCAGTTCCATTTTTTTAAGGGGGCGGGGATGGTACCCCCAAAATCGATTTATGTGGATTAAACTCTCCTGAAACGGGGACGGGTACCCGTATTTTCGTGTGTCTTCAAAATAGGGGAACCTCTGGGTTGCGTCTAGTTCACACCCAAGGCCTTTGGGTTTAGGGATTGGGGTTTAGGGTTTAGGGTCCCTTAAAAGGACCCACCATTTTGTTTTGGGTTTTCTATGACAGGAGTTACTGGAGTCCCCCTTCCGCTGAAACTGCCACTTTTGGATCAAAGAGACATTTTGCGAGGACACACCTCCATGGCCGGTTCCATCAAAAACTCCGGCTCCTCAACGGCGCTCCTCGGCACATTTCCATTGAGCCCTGTGCAGATTTACATCTAGGTCTAGCTCCTCCAGATTTGAGAGCTTTGAATAAGGGTACCCGACTTTATTTTTATGTAGTCTATGTTTAGTCAAAAAAGGGGTGAGAAAGGGCACTACTGGGGGACCTAGACATGATGCATGTCCACGTTTGAGGTGGTTCCAACATTCAAAAAATACAACTCACGGCCAAGTGGGTGCCCCTCCAAATTCCAACCTCTTGGCTAATTTGTCATACTTTGCAAAAACAGTTTTCCAGGGCAAATACCAGCATCTTTGCAAGGTCACATCATAGCCCGAAAAAGTTAGGTGTAGATGATTCTGGCTCTGCGAAACATTATTGAAGACCACTCAAGAAAGCCAAATATATCCGAGCAGCTGGAAGAATCATCCACCAAGAAGAAAAACATGGTTCAGAGGGCACGGTTAGTCCAAGACGGGCATTGAAGAAAGCCAACTATCCGAGCAGGAGACAAACGCTCCACATGGAAGGGAGCCACCCTTGAAACAGGCGTAGGGCCGTCTTTAAAAACAACATGCGGCCCCAGTCACGAGGTCGCATGTGTCCCCAGAGGCCATTGGTCAAAAATGGGGTAACACCAAAATGGAACCCTGGAAAAGGGAACCGTTTGGCCAAAACCTGTGGTCTGTTGGTTGAATTTTGACCCATCTCCAGTCCAAAAACCCGGACTGAGCCCTGTTGAAAAAGAGAAATCTCAAGCTGCGGAGTCGGGGATTTGCAAAATGGCACCCTGGGAAGTGGAAACATGGACCAAAACCTGCGTAACCGCTTCTGCTTAATTTTGAGCCACACCCACATTTAGTTAAGAGATTACAAAAATGGTTGGCCTGTTGGGACCTTTACTAAACATAGACTTTTTAAAAGAAACCAAAACTTCAAAAGGCCGATTTGCTTTGAAGAACCGAGACTAGGGATTCTTTTGCCCCACCTGCGGTTGGGACCATGTCTGTCCTTTGGGGACGATCAATGGCCCTGGTACATGAAACAAACCCATCTAAACCAGTGGAACCCATCTATGTTCAACCAAACTGGCCTTAAAAAGGACACCTAATTATGGCAATTACCCCAGAGAAACAACTTTGGAGAGCCTAGGAGGGGAGCTGCCCTTCCACGATGTCACTGGGATTTGGCTTTAATGACAAGACCCCCAACTCAAAGGATCGCTTCCGAACGAGTGGATTGGCCAAGAACACGTGACCACACTTGTTATTTACCGCTCAAATGGTGAAAACCTGAAAAGTGACTAAAGTCCAGGAACTCGGGAAGTGTAAGAAGGGGATTCAAGTGTTCCCTGGTATCAAATGGAGAAAAGCATCATTCCCACTACGAACCGGTATGAACTAAAACCGCGGTTTGTGAAGTAGCTATTTCTCCTGGGTCCCTTGGCACCTTTTTCAACCTGCCGCGAATCCAAGGGACCCAGAAAACCCAAGGTACGGCGTTCCTCTTTAAACAACCCACCTATTTCATCCCGCAGCGCTGCTTCCCAGTCAGACCACGGGAACCACCTCCCCTGAAGAGCGATTCCATCCCTCGCTGAGGCTCGAACTCTTGCACTGCCGGCTCTGAGCCTCCGGAGCGAGTCGCTGCGAGAGATGGGAAGAAATGGAATGAGCCCCAAACAAAGTCTAGGCTGTCCTCAGATCCGCTAAAAGTTTTTAGCTTCTGGGCTAAGTTCGGAAAACCAACCACTAAACACGAGAAGGATGCTAGAAAGCCCAACGGACCCGGAGGGCGAGCCCAGAACTCCAAGTACGTCTTTGAAGGGACGGGTTCACTCCCACAGGCTATCGCACCAGAGACGCTGGGAACCTGACCGGGGCCCGGGCTCGAAACCGGCCGCTGGACTCCCCGAATCCGAATCCGAATCGAACGGTTCCATGGGCGGATGGGCAATAAATCAGCGAAACAGATCAGGTCCATGCGGTTCTTGCGGCAACTGAGTTGCTTTTTTCCTCAAGAAAACGAGTGTGCATCTCCGAAATGGACATCAACCTCCGGTGATTCAGAAATTCCACTTTGAAATTCAAATTCACAGCCAGATTGTCCGCCTGAATCCATGACGTGCGACTCACAGATATATGACCCATGTCACCTTCCCGCCGGTTGCTATTGGGTCCGGAGGTGGGATGTCACTCAAAATCTAACCCCAACCATAGGTGGCCTTTTGGACAAATAGATGGGCTCCCCTGGTTCATGGAATAAACCCCACCTAAACCAGGGCCCTCTATTCTTAAGCAAACCAAAAAGGACACCTATGACCCCAACCCGGTCGGGTGGGAAAAAAACTTAGATTTCCAGTCAACGCCACCAGGATAAACGAGAAAATGTTCAACTAGCCGCATGGAAGGGCAGGTTCTGGGACTGGCTGTGCTGAAAAAACCGGGTAGACAATCAACAAAACTTACCCAATGAACTTAGTACCCAAATATGTAACAAAGTACCCACTTCATTTAGGGAAAGTACGTTGAAACACCTGGCTTCTAATGGCTCCCTGAACATGAGATGCAAAGGGGCTGTGAGTGGGTGAGTGTCATGGTGTCAGAACCTCCCTCGAGACGATTTCGCCGCCTTCCTGCCGCGAGCTCGAGCTGGCGTGGACCGCCTACGGCGTGGCTCGTTTAAAAAAAAAACGATTTCCTTGCTGGTGATCAGCGAATGACTCGTGTTGGGAAGGAACCTAGGGGCTTCTCTTTCACCAACACATGGTACAAGGATTTGATTCCAAGATAGGTCATTTTGCAGATTATCAAACAGTACAATGCTCCACGAAAGACAAGAAAGGAAACCACAAGGATTGTTTGTAGAGGTCATGCTTTCTCATTCCCTGCTGAGCACCAGCAAGAAGCCTTCCTGCGGGGGCCATCTTTTTGCTGCATCCATGGAAAGTCACATGGAACCCTAGAAATAGCTGGGTACCACTGGTGTGTTATGCCCTAGTTACCAGGGGAGCCCATCTATTTTCTCCAAAACACCTATGCTTTGAACCTGTTGGATGCGTCTTTTGAAATCTGTTCTAGGTCCTCCAGTAGAGAGGTTAGAATAAAGGTACCCTTTTTTTCTGTAGTCTATTTTAGTAGACGAAAACCCGCCCCCCAAAAAAGGGTAAAAGTTGGCACGATCCTGGGGGACCTAGGTGGAATTCCACTCCTGAAAGAAGCTTACGGGTTGCTGTTTTCGGGTTGGACCAGCCATGGAAGCTCGAAGCTTTCGCAGATGGCAAGACCCAAACGCAGATGGCAAGACCAAATCGTTCCAGGGAATACCCAAGATGAAACTAAGAATTCCCGAGCTGAACTTCTGTTTGATACCTGCGAAGCCCATGTGTGCAAAAAAACAAACGCCTTCGAGCAAAAAGCACCAAAATGGTGGTCGTTATTCGGAAACAGATCGCTGTTTGCAAATTGGCAAAGAAGGTTATGTTTGTGGAAAAGCAGCCTGGCTCATCTTAGATTTCGGACTGTTCCGCCCATTTCCGCTTGTTTCCGCCTTTGTTCCAGGTTCTTGCGCCCTTTTTTGGCTCTCCAAGATGCACTCTGGGAAACGAAACTCCAAAAAAGTCGAAGTTTGGAAAAATGTCGTTTCATGAAAAAAACAGTTTCTTTCTCGAAAAGAGCGAAAAACAAGACACACAAACGGCTTCACAGGGTATGGAAAAAAGAGCCTCCTGTTCACTTGCCACGCATGAAAACACCATGGAAGCGTCCATCCAGCGGTTAGTGAGATGCGCTCGCAAAAAAAGAGGAGTTGAGTTGCTTGAAGCACGTTGTGGGACTGACGAAAGAGAAGCGAGTCTTTCCACCCTCCTAGCTCTTGGTGTCCCCAGAAGTGCAAATCTGTCTGATCGATTCCCTGAAATCCAACCCGGGGGACAATAAAACATGTTCTTACCCGGCCCGAACGAAAGTCTTTGGGTTTCCTTTTTGGGATATTTGGGGGCTATTCAGCACGAGCAGTTTCTTGCGGGTGCTTGGCCGCGGGACCTTGGGGTATGGCTGAGCGATAAGGACTTCCTGCAACTGTTCAGGATCCACTCATAACTCGGGGGCTTTCTGCTCCCCTGCTCAAAGTTTAACTTCTAGTGGTGTAATGGACAGCCCATTCGTTGGCAAAACGTTAAAGTCCGAACATCCAAGCAAAATGCACCAAAGATAAGGTTATGCACGCATTTGTTGCAATATGGATTACACGACGTAAAACGACACGCAAACACACAGCTACTTAGACTTTGTTGGCAGAGTCACCCGAACATCTTTGCGGCTTGATTCGCGCTGCACAAGGGCTGCTAGCTGTGTTGAATTAGTGCAATCCATGAGACATAGCATTGCAATCCTAGGTTGCTGTTGCTCTAAGCAAAAGGCGTATAAGCCTGTGTAGATTTGAACCTTCATTTGCTTACAAAGACGTCTCTCCGGGGCCTTTGAGGTCACAAAGACCAGCCATGATGCCTGCTGTAAACTCTACAGCAGATTGCCTCCAAGATCCCATGGAGCCCCGAAAGCGAGATGTTCAGCAATGATCAGCAAGCCTCGGCCATTTTAAGCTGCTTCCAACCGAAAAAGACGAGTCCATGATCATGATCCCAAGTCGTCTTTGCGCTACCTGTTTGGAAAAGTCCTTGGCATACCGTCGAGCAACATCCAAATGTTCTCGTATTGATTAACAACTATGTTTGTTCTACATTGATATATTAGGTTAATTATGACATTGAGGGTTGGACATCAGTCTGAATTGTCCAAGGTTTTGGCAGAGCCTAGAGGTCAAGAGCGTTGTCCGGGAACCCGGGACACAGGAGCCGATGTTTCCAGATTGGCAAGACTCGGAGTTCCGAGTCGCAAGTCACAGCCCAAAAAGGGGCAAAGGTCGCAACACGATGGCCCTGGGGTTCAAACCACCATAAGAAGAAAACAAAACACA